AATACATGGTAGTTGACACTTCTCGTCCCAATTTGCCGAGTCTGCCTGGTGCCCACTGGCCAGGTGTGCCTCCTGAGATCGTGTGCCCGTCGAGATTGTGCGCCGATAAAATACCGGGTGTGCCGTGGTACTGGCCGGAGTCTGTCACGTTACTCTAAAGGTAGCGCTAGAGGTGTCCCCTGTCACGGCGAACAGCGCCGCGCCGGCCCCAGACGCGGGTCTCCCCGTCCTGTCATGTCAGACCCGGTGTCGAGGCTTCCAGCTGGCCCAGAAGCCCACCCAAACCAGCTTCAGATCGGCACTACATCGATCGCTCCCATACGATCAGCGGGGAGCGTATATGCAATGCTCTCGATCGCTGACCACGGTTTGAAAAGTGACAGTCATCTGTATCTGTCATCGGTCGTCGATGACAGGTAACACATTGGCAGCTGATGCTTAACCCGCGCCGTGCTGGTGGCCTGAACTTTCCGCCGAGTGCTGGGGGGGGGGGGGCGTTTTCACGCCCCCCCGTCTAACTCGGCTCCTGGGCCACGTAGCGACACGCGGTAAGCGGCAATCGAAAGAGCGTCAAAAATAAGGACGAAAACACTTCGGTCATTTTTTGGGTCAGGTCAAAGGTCAGGTCACCAGAGGTCACCAAAGGTAAAATGTTGACTATTTCAACATTTTGGAAACTGCCAACGGCTATCTCGGGAACCGATAGAGCTACAGCGCCGCGGAAAAGCGCATTCGATAGCCCTTTTACAGACCTTTCTGGGTAATGTCCTCAGATTTGACCTCAGGTCAACGGTTTAGCCTCCAGAGGGCAAAAACTCCAAAAATAGCCGTTTTTACGAAAAACGTTTTTTCGTCAATAACTTTTGACTCATAAGCGCCATGACATTACTTTTGCCAGCATCGTGTTTCTCTCGTCGAGACGCGTCGAATGAACTATTCGTTGACCTTGAAAGGTCATTTTGAAAATTTGACCTCAGGTCAAGGTCATGACCTGACCGAAAAGGGTCATGTTGCATATCAGTCGATCCGTATCGTCGAGCTGAACACATCTGACGTGTTTTCACCGCTCTAGCACGTCTCTATCAAAAGTTATAGCCAAAAAACTGCTGGCGACCGTTCATGACCTGAGATGACCTCAGGGGCACACAGAGGGGTCACAGGTGCATTTTTCCTATTCAGTGTGTCATGTTTACCTATGAACCGATGTTTGAGAGCGTTTTGAACGATATTCGTCCAAAAGAGGCGCATTTCAATTTTCTCCCATTGACTTATAATGGAGAGGTCGCAAAATTGACCTGACCTTAGGTCACAGATATAAAAAATACGAGATATACATTTTATACATACTGTTACTCATATCAATCGCTGAAAGTTTCAAAGTGATCGTTCAGTCGGTGTAGCTATAGCGAGCCTTTGAACTTTTTCTGAGGTAAGGTCACTTGACGTGACCTGGTGACCTGACCTTGAACGGCCTAGGTCTGAAATTTTCACAACATGTGCGGAAATGATGTAGGAACACGTGTACCAAAAACGGCGGCGCTGCGCGCCGCCGTTTTTGAGATATTTGCGAAAAACCTGAGGGGGGGCGTAAAAACGCCCCCCCCCCAGCACGGCGCGGGTTAACCGCCCGTCGATGAAACATTTGACGGCGCTTCTCATGACAGGTCTATATACACAAAACTATTCATAACTGAAACATGACGACATACTATTGTCATTCAAACGTGATACTTGGCGGCTGAACATTCGTACCTGACAACAGCAATGCGTCATGAACTCCTGTTTTCTCATTGCATCCCTGTTTATTGTTTCAGGTGGGCTTGTGTGATTGGCAATGTACCGGATTGATTTAAAGCTGCCTTTTTACGTCACAAGCACTACCTCACGGACTCATGTTTACTCATTGCATCCCTGTTTATTATTTTTCAGGGAGTCTTGTCTGTGATAAACAACAGAGCCAACGGAATTGATTCAAAAATGCCTATTGCATAATCATTAGTTTTGCCACCGCCCACCCGCACCGGCTGTAACCTCTCATCGTCGCCGTTTATCCCGCAGCAGTCTGCCGCTGATTCTGGGGATCGTGTTCGGCGTCCTCGTCTCCACTGTCCTGGTCGTCACAGCTCTGTTCTTTGGCTGGCGCACGTGGCGCGCGCACAAGAAACGGCCCAGAACCGGAGGTGAGCTGAAATCGACATAGGTCAGGATGGTGAAACGGATGTGGCTTTGCTTTCGCCATGCATCAAAAATAGCTGAATATCAGGTGATTTAGCAAAATTAATTTTTGTAACGGAAGATAGAGAAATATAAAGCGATGGGTGTAGAATGTTGTAAACTTTATGGGGAATATTTGTTTCTGGTCCCTAAAAAGCTGTTTCTGGCACCTAATTGCTGATCAGCCCCAAAATGCTTATTCGACCCTAATATCTGAATCTGGCACCTAATTGCTTCCACACAGCCTAAAGTTGCCAGATCGTCTAGTTGAACTCCGTATTTGCTGTTTGCTGATTCAGCACCAAAACCAAAACATCCAGCACCTATTTTATTCCACGTTTGCCTACCTAATTCGCGTAATCTTCCTGATTTTATGTATCCTAACAAACATGAACGTTGCATTCGGTGATGTCAAGTGCCATTTTCGCCAGTGGAGATTATGATTAATGCCATTTCTAGCCAAAAGAGAATCACTAGCCAGCTATGGTGCAGCATAGCAAGACGCTCCTATACCAGCCCGCTATGTAGAGACTAGAGATTATTGCACCCTCAGCCATTTTAACGTGAAAAGTTTGGATCCGTCACTTCCAGCCAGGCTCTCAGGTCATAAACTGGAGTAAAGCAAAATGTAAACTCTGAACAGACATGCCACGCAACCGGCCCTCTTTTCAATATTATTAGCTTTCTGCAATCATCGTCTGACTCCATCTCGATCAAACGCAGCATCCGGTTTCTACAGGGGCGTTTGACTGACCGGCCACACAATAACCAAAAACAAAATCAAAGCTTCATGCACACATATGACATAAATAAGAAACGGATGAAAAAGGCACAACCACGGCACAACTCTGCGCGGCAAACAACGGACAATGTCCCACGCAAGATCCCGCGTTTCTTCAGCGGCCTTGAACGGAATGAAAACATTACATTTCTTTTTTGGAGCTATTTGATGACGTCAAAAAATACAATACCCGTTTTAATGGTCAAAATCGAGACAATTACTCACAAAAATGTTTCCCTTTAAGCATTACAAATAAATGCTTTTAAATATTTAAATGACATTGTTTTTTCAAACAAATCAATATTATTTGCTTACTTAAACGTCATATACAATACAATGCTGAGATCACTACGGGGCTGTCTTAGAGTGTAGCTGCACTGGCAACCTTTAGGCTAGACTCCAGGGGTCATTATACCAGAACAACATGATTCTACCAGCCAGTAGTTCATTTTTCTACTAGATTGGTGCTACGCTCAGCATTTAGGTGCCAGATTCAGAAAAAAGAGTAAGGCGTACCGATGAATAGGTGCCAGAAACAGCTAATTAAGGTCATTTTCCATGATTGGTGCTGGTATCCACCAAATAGGTGCTGAGGACCAATTTTGGGGCGAGTCAGCTTTTAGGTGCCAGAAATAGCTTTTCTGGGACGCAATTAAATGGCGTCCAAACTTTATTCATTAGAAATTGAATAAAGGTAATAAATGTTATCTCAATCGAACATCTTACATCTTACTGCTGTTCTGCAAAGTGACCCGTCCGTTGCAGGCCAGTTATTCTGCGTGGCCGGCGGAGGCACGCCCAGCCTGTACACGGGCACCTTCAGTCGGGAGACCAGCCGGCTGGGCAGTCCTCAGCTGGGTGATGACGTCCTGCGCACAGTGGACGAGGTGGCCGTCAGACAACCCTACCGGTTCGCCAGTCCCGTCAGCCGGCCGGCAACGACCAGCTTCACGGCCGACTTCGGACACAGAGGCGAGTCAGAGTTAAATTTCGCAGATATTCAGTCGTTCAGATCGCAATTATGTATATTCGTGACACTATAAAAGAAAGAAGTACACCAATTCCCAAATACACCAAAGAAATACATTCCCAAATTCCCAAATACACAAATACACCAAAGTACCGAATTGGTGTACTTGTTTCTTGTATAAGTGTCACGAATGTACATAATTGCGATCTGAACGAAAGTTAAATTTATCTAGACAGGAGATTGCAGTAACCAAGGCTATAAGAGCATTGCAGTGAAACATGATAACACCTGTCCTTATTCAACCAGACTAATTTTGGCGCGTCATGCTGAATTAAAAAAGAATGCAAATTAAAAACGGCTGCGCTTTTTGCTTGCACCAATCCTCGACTTTTATTATCGACAGGAAGGATAGGTTAGTTCGACACAGTTATTCTACCAGTTTAGTTTTTTAATCAGAACACGGAAAAAATCTAGTGATGTGTCTCAGTGTGGGAAATATTGTAAAACAGTTACGACAATGGGTTAGTCACACGATTTATCTGACCTACACAGTCCGGAAATATTTCATCTCCAATAAAAACGCTCGTTATGTTTATGTTTTCTGCCATCCATGACCGTTTCGCAGACACCACGGTAAATCGTGGCTGTTTACCATGCCATTGCCGCACCACTTCAATAACTTACAGCATAAACAACTTCAAAGCGTCGCGACTGCAAGAAACGGGCGTCGTATTAGCGTCGCATTAACCATACCACCTCTCTTTCCCAGCGCTGCTGTCTGGTTCTTCCGAGAGCACCACGAGCTCCTCGGCATCCGACAGCACCATGGAGCAGCTGTACGCCAGCGTCCGTCAGCCTCCTCCAGCCTACTCGTTCAGGAGCGAAACCCCGCGCACACTGTCCCTGTCCCCTCCCGGGAGCATCTCAAAACCCGAGCTCGACTTCCGAGAGAGCTCCTTCGTTACCTCCGCTGAGATGGATGTCCTCCGACACAATCGGTCAAGGTCATCCTCTCTGTTCAAGTCCACGCGCTTCTGAGGCGGGCGCGTGGGCGTCGCGTTGGTCAAGGCGTTGGCCATGCTCCCCAGTGTGTCTGTGGCTCCCTCAGCTGTGGTCTACGGCGCCCGCGGCGGCGCCCGCGGCGCCTTGCCGCTGGCGGGTAGCCGGCGCTTGTCAGTGCGCCTGCGCGGGGGAGGGCGAGGGGCGGGGTTGTTGGTCGGACGGGTCGAGCCGCGGGGAGGCGTCAGTACGGGACGGAGCGTCGCGAGTGTGTGGTGTGTTGTGTGGCGGGCGGAGCAGCGGCGGCGTGGCGGTGGGCGCTGCGGTACCGTACCGAGGAGAGAGGGAGGGAGAGCTGCACACGTCCAGAGGAGAGAGGCCGGAGCCATGTCCAACAGACGGACACTCGGAGAAAATCACGAAGGTGGGTGATTGGCAATTGTGATAGGGCTCGAGGCAACTTTTATCCGTGTATGAAGTATATCGGGCTGAAGTCGGTTGCTGTTAACAGGCAATAAAGTAAACTGAATGGATTCGATGCATTATTTTCTGCTAATGGCGTGTGATATGTTCAGAAGAATTTATTGTTTCCTGTACTGCTTCATGGAAGGAGTTTTTAATGCGCCGCTGCAATAAAGATTGATATATTGTCGTTCTCTTCATCCGTATTGAACTTGCCTAATGTTGCTTGTACTGTTTGAAACTGATTTGGGCTTGGAATGTCTATTTTTAATGAAAACGCAGACGATACCCTTTCCAAATGCGACTTTGTATTCTCGTGGTAATTTTATATCATGATATAGCAAGATCGGTCACTGCAGTGCATCCTACCTACATTATATTGGCCCGTAATTACTTTGCAAGCATAGTAGACGCTTATAAGCAGATGATGAAGTTAATGAATGTTTTGTAAATTTAAATTTATACTTAGAATTATGTGTTTTAACTAATTAATTCAACATAAAGGCGTTTTGTTATGAAACTCAAAGACCAGACAAAGAAAGGAATCTGAGGAAATGGGGAAGTAATGTCCAAACTACAAATGACTATAAAATTCGTCAACTGAATCGCTACACCGTGATTATTCGCACTTGCTCAAAATTTCCTAATTAGCGATTCATGCTCATCATTTCAATGTTTACTCTGCATCAACTCAGTATATGCCACATCCAGTGGCGTCACCACGGTTTCAGAACTTCTAGGGACACTTTTCCAGGGCGTCGCCACAAACCTTTGCTTGAGTCTGGTCGGCAATACCCACCTACCCCCAAATCTGCGTACCTCGTTGGATTTCGGCCACTCTAATTTAAAAACGAGGGAGAATAATTAATATTTAGTTGGAAAAAACGAAGAAGTTACGCGGTAGTAGGCATGTTCTTCGATCATGAAACGCATGCCCACATCCTTCTGCCTATGCATGCAGGGACGGTCGCAGACTTGGCGTTTGAGGGGGAGGGCAACTTGGCAAAGAGGCCCTGTCGACCCTCGGGAGGCCCAGTGCCTCCCGAGCCCCATTATTGCAGGGCCCCCATTATTAACATACCGGCCTTTGAGGCCGGTATGGTAATATGGGGCCGCTATGGTAATTTGATGGCCGCCAGACATGGGCACGGATCCCAGACAACCATTCACGGAAATCGAGATGGCCATTAGATAAACGGTCTTCAAGCATGAAATCATGGTGGAAAACATGGCTAATAAAAGCCTCTCAATGAACCAACTGTTTTGCACTCCTTCAAAGTTTACAGTTTTGAGAAACTCCCTCAAGATCCATCTCGAATCCATGATCACGAATCATGATCACGAATCATGATTCGTGATCATGGATCCGAGATGGATCTTGAGGGATTTTCTCAAAACTGTAAACTCTGAGGGAATGCAAAATGGTTGGTTCGTTGAGAGGCATCTATAAGCCATGTTTTCCACCATAATTCCACGCTTAAAGACCACTAATCTAGTGGTCATATTGATTTTCGTGTTTGGTCGTCTGGGATCCGTGCCCATGTCTGATGGCCGCTATGGGGCTATGGGGCCCCAGAGGCCGGTGTGGGCCCTCAGAGGCCAGTGCGTGACGCCCAAAGGTAAGTCTTGGGCCCCAGAGAACAAAATACGGCCATCAGTGGCCGGTTTAGTGACCTCATAGGCTGGTTGGGGCCCATAGAGACCAGTTTGGGACCCGCAGAGGCTAGCGTGGGGCCTCAGGTGTCAGTGTGGGGCTTTTAAAGACTGGTATGGGTCCTCAGAGACCGGCATCGATCCTTCAGAAGCCAGTACGGGCCCTCAGAGGCACATAAGGGCCAGTCTTGGGTCTCCAGGGCAGAAACTGGGCCATCAGAGGTCGGTGTGTTTAGAGGTCGGTTTGGGCCCTCAGAGACCAGTTTAACGGCCTCAGAGACCAGTAAAGGGCCTAATGGCAGTTTGAGACCATAAGAGGCCGACTTGGGCTCTCAGAGGCTAATGTGGGTCCTTACAGGCAGGCATGGAACACTCAGGGGTCAGTGTAGGGCCCTAAAAGACCGGCATGGGCTGGCGTTGGACCCCAGAGGCCAGCAGAGGGCCCTCAGAACCCAAGATAACCCCCCCCCCCCAGAGGCCAATGCAGGCCATAAAAAGGGCCGTTATCGGATCTTCCGAATCCAGTGCGGGACCCTCCGAGGCTAATATTGGCCCTTACATGCCAGCATGGGGCCTCATAGGTCAGTGTGGGGTCCTAAAAGACCGGCATGGGCCAGCGTTGGACCCCAGAGACCAGCAGAGTGCGCTCAAAAGCCAAGCTTGGCCCTCAGAGCCCAGAGGCCGATGCGGGCCCTTAGAGGCGGTCATCGGGTCTTCAGAATCCAGTGCGGGGCCCTCAGAGGCTAATATGGGCCTTACAGGCCAGCATTGGGGCATCTGAGGTCAGTGTTGGGTCCTAAAAGACCGGCATGAGCCAGTGTTAGATTTCACAGACCAGCAGAGGGCCCCAAAGGCCAAAATAGGCCTCAGAGGCCGATGCAGGCCCTTAGAGGCCGGCATCGGGTCTTCAAAATCAAGTACAGGGCCCTCAGGGACACGTATAGGTTAGTCTTGGTACCCCAGAGACATAAATGCCACCAGAGGCCGATGTGAGGCCCTCAGACGCCGGATGGGCCCCTGAGGCCGGTTTAGGAGCTCTTTAAGGCCAGCGGAGGGCCCTCAGAGGTCAATGCGGGCCCTCCACGGTCAATGCGGGCGCTTGACCACCACGGAAGGGCCCTCAGAGGTCAGTGTAGGACTCTCGAAGACCGGTATGGAGCTGTTAATAGCTGGCGTGGGTTTCTTGAGCCTCGTGACAATCGAATAAGGGCCGGGGCCCCATCGCTTGTTTTTGGGGGGGGGGGCAAATTATATGATGACCCCTGATTTTCACTGGGGCGGGGGCATGGCCCTGATGCCTCCCCCCTCTATCCGCCGTCTCCGATCCCCATTCCGATGTTCCAGAGGAAATTGATCTAGGAAATGTTAGCTTGACCAGCGGCCGGCCCAGAGCGGCGGCCCAGTACTGCCCTGATCCTGACCTCCCGCCGGGTCCACGCACACTGTGGTGACCAGCCCCTCATACACCTGAGTCTGCCCCAGCTCGTAACCGGCGGGCAGCTGCATATCGTCTTCGGTCGGGTTTATAAGCTGGACCAGTATGTAACCAGCCGAGTTCGTTTCAGCAATCATGCTGGGCACCTCCAGAATCGGCTCGGGTGTCTCCTCGGGTGACTGGGAAACAAACTCGACCAATTTCTCGGACGAGTGCCGGCCTGCCGTACCCAGCTTTACGGCGACCACACGCACGTGCCTGGAGGCTGGAGGGCACCGTCATATCTGTATAAGGGAGGCACATCGCTCGCGGGCCTTTTTATTTACCGTGGCGATGTTGACGCGACCGTTCCCAAGGCAAAACAAATGTGTTCGGAGAGCTGAGCAAGTTGCGCCGTTATCATGTCCCGGGTTCTTTGCGTGTCCCCAGTAGAGGGAACTCCAAAAACTTCTAGGGACAATCCCTAGTAGTTTTCGATGATTTCAAAACTTCTAGGGACAATGTCACTCCGCCTTTTGGTCCCATGTTTATCATCTGGGGTCATACGGGCGCGCCAGCCCGGCCTTAGTTCGGATTATTGATCTAATCAGGCTACTATGCTTAATATCAATCACCTGCTCCTCCCGGACAGCTTATAATGACGTCATTGGCTCACCGTCGCTCTATTAGCCGGTCATCAGTCATCGGTTTCGATGGGTTGCCTCTCTGACGCGCTGCATGTTTACTATCCCAAACGAGGTGCGGTTTTTGGTCGTGTGCTAATCTTTGAAGCTTCCGCTGTTCCGCCGGCCATTCAGGCTTATTAGTAACGGGAAAGGGGCGACCACCAGGGCCAAGTTTATCGCCGAGATCTTTTGTGAGTCACAGCGTCGACCCCCGTGTGATTCATCCGGTTCACTTGATTTATGGACGGGCTGCCTGGAACTGTCCCCCATAGCTCCCCGAAAGCCGCGTGCCCTATCGCCCCCCCTCCCCTACCGTTCCCGCGCCGCCGTCACGCAGACCCCCCCCCCCCTCCCCGCTCACTTGAATCCGGGTCCGCACCACTTGCATATGGATCGGCGGGCGTCAGATTGGAGACGGATCGGCGCGACACGCGACCAGCTATCTGCTCCGAATCACGGCAGGAGGTCGTCCTTTAGGGCCGACGACCGGGAGATCGGGATCTTCCCCTTTTGACTGCGGAGATCTGGATCTCTCCTCAGACCGTCAATGTTATCGTGGTAAGGGCGGTTTGGTGTATCTCGGTGCGGAAACTCCCGAGGGAGGGGTAGGCTGTGAGAGTTCTGAGGGAAGTCTAATTAAAAAATTGGGACAGCGCACAACCTCTGGGTTGGGGTATCTTTGAAGTTAAAACCCCTAAATACCTACTTGAGGAGGACACAGCACTCAGGAATTTGTGGACTGCCGGCAGAATCTCTGGGAATTTGAAAGTTATGTTGGTATATTTTTAACCGTTTGAGAAACTTGCGGAATGAGGTCAGAAGTTTGCATTGGCTCTTCGACGACTCGAGAGACTCATTGATGCTAGAATATTTCGAGCATTTGAAGCGAATCTTAACTAATGGTAAAAGGAAACAGATCGTTAGTTGTTTATCGACGATAAGTACATTTCCCCTTTGATCTCACTTGACATTTTTTTTTTGTCTACCGATTAGACACTAAAATCGCTAGTCATGCGACAGCCCAGCTAGTTCCCCTGCGGCCAGTCTTTGCTACAGGCCATTTTACCGTGTAGTTTGGACGACCCCGGCTGCCGGGATGTTGGCTGGTCAGCCGACGGACGCCTCCTGCTGATAGCGCCGCCAAGACGTTTGTCCGCCTGTCGACGACATCGGGCTCCATCGGACCGAGATGGAGAGCCGCCGTGTCGT